CAATGATATGTAAATATTCTGCCTCGCCCCGTACCTATTAGGAGCCGTTGCGTGCGTGAAAACCTTAACATTCGGAAGTGAAGACACGTTACGCAAAATTTAGTACCGACGCGAGACATTCTTTTCCAAGTAATGTTCGGGTGGGAATACTTTAACATTGATGTACAAATGCATTTTATATACTCCAGGCGACGATCTTTTATAAGACGCAAGAGCTCAAGTGACGAGTAATTAGCAGCTTTTTAGAAGGAAAACTACTCATAAGCTTCCTCGAAAGGGTCGTATTAATTACTGGAGGTGCTCGTATGAGCGTGGCGCGATATAAATGGCCGGCCACTTGGCGCCCTAGCCTCGCCAGGCCTTATTAAAAATGTTAACACGTAAATTAGACTCCACGGTGGCAGTGTATTAGCTAACCAATTAAATTTTAGAAGCAGCGCATACTCGCACAATGCAAGGTGACTTCGCACGTCGTATACGTCAAGGCACAGGCACAGAACTTGTGTACCCCATGCTTAGATATGCAATATTTTCTTTTCACTTGGATAACATTTCGAGTGTTTCAATATTAAATTGCGCGCTTAAGTTTTTAATTACAAAAAAATTAAATATTGAACTAAATGTGTATGCAGCGAGTTAGCATGGTAAGTTAAAAAGGCATATCAAAATTGCGACGTAAGGTTGGTAACATTTCCGTTTCCGACCGTGAGAGTCCTTGCATACGAGAGATTTTATTCTCAGTTGAATTAATTAAAATATTCACTTTTGATATAAGTAATTCTAATTAGTGGTGAACTTATTACTTTGTGCGATTTCCCGTTCGGTTGAATGAATCATGATTTACGTTAGGTAATTGTGGTTTAATGAAACGCAAGGTCTAAAAATGTAATTAAATCGTATAATAGGAGAATTTGCTTTAATGCAGGACATCTGTGAGAGGTGGCGTGTATGGTGAGCTCGTCGCGTCAGGTCGCTTGTGTGCAGCGTGTTAAAAGGTTTGAGGCTCGGTTAGTCTAAGTGCAACCCCTCATGCGACTAGTTGGATGTGTGTAAAGATTAATTGGAGTGTTGCCTATTCTAACAATTTACGCCTTCTCTGACGGGCCGGCCGCAGACCACTTCTGCGCAACTTAATTAAGCGAAATAACTTAAACGAGTCACCGTTGCTAATTAGTGCTATCGTCGTCGGCTAATTCTACGAGTGAGTCTTTGTTTGCAAGCCTGCGTTTCTTTGAGGCGCGCGCCAAAAGAATTTGTCTTTGCATCGACTTTGAGTGAAGGATGTTTGTTTTTCCCCGAGTCTCTAAAGATTCTAGAGTTCATTTTGAAAACTTTGTCCACAAAAATTGTTACAGTATTTAATAATAGCAATCATATTATACTATACTTTGTGGTGGCGGAAATGTTTTGAAAATATTTGAATACTAATATTTATTTATTAATTTAGATTAGCAAGATCATATAAGGTTTAAAAACTTTTGAGTCTAGTTTGTTTAGCACTCAAAAGACTAGAGAAATCGGCTTAAGGCGCCTACACGCGCGACAAAGCGACTAAAAGACAAGGAGCTCTCGCCGGTAGAGCCCTTACAGCGAGTACGTCAACAAGTGGCCAGTTGTGCGCCTTCTTTGCCCCTTCAATATCAATGTATGCTCATGTTTAAAGATTTTTCCTAGCAAAATCCAAGCATTTGAGGTTTCCTTTTTATAAAAAAATAGTTCTTATTAAATTAATATTTTATTATAATTCGAAGAGAGACATATATATGTTGAAATCATTAGCCCGAATAAAGTAAAAAATATCTGGGAATATACAGTATTTTTATCAGTAATCATTAAAGCCGTAAAAGTTTAAATGATAATAATACAAATGGCCATTACTTTACTTGAATATATTTTTAAAATAGGATCAATAGCTAATTAACGTAATCTTGGACCTTCTAATTAAAAATGCGATAAACCTCACAATCATGTAGAATGTAATCACAATGTGTTTTTACTTAAAGTATGAGTTAGAATTTTTATTTTAATTATAATAATTATTTTAAATGTTTTGATTTGCAGCTTTTATATTTACGATAAAAATTGTAAAAATGGTACTCTTTAATTTTAATTAGAATGCAATTATTCAATATTCGATAAAAATATTTAAACTTTTACTTTTATTTTTTCATTGCAAATGACAAGATGGAAGTACGAAGATTTACTGCTAAATAAACTTGTCATCGGTTCCATTAGGGCGCTGTACAATCGTCTATAAATTTAAAACCTCATCAATTCGTCTTGGACACCTTGGTGTAATTGCCCCGTATGTACTGACCCTCACCCTTTCAGTTTTCCTTTTAAATATTTAATAATATTTGAAAGTACTAGCAAATTTCAAATGAAATGTTTTATTTACTTTAACTAAATATTATAAAGAAAAAATTAAAACAAGTAAGTAATGAATTACATTTAAATTATCTTAAGGCGTTTTAGTTCGTATTTGTTCTTAGTTTATTTAAGTCTTTTAATTAAGTCACATGTAATTAATTTATTATATTATTTCGATAGCGATAGGTACCTACTCTATTTTACGAATAAGTTTCTTGTGTTATGGCATTGGTAACTAACTTTTAAATATAAGACAGTCATCCTTATGAGATACAACAATAGAAAATTATATATTTGGTCCGTGTTTACACCCTTGGTAATAGATTCCAGTCATGCAAAACCGAAGCCGATAGTTATATGTATTTTAAAATATCATCAATTCTTGTTGGACACCTTAGCTTGTAATTGCCTTCCGTGTACTGACCCTCACCCTTTCAGTTTTCCTTTCAGATGTTTATCGCAAGGAAATGGCCGTTTTCCGTCCACAATGCAACCATTAAGCGACAATACAAATGGGTCTAGTTGGGTTTCGTGTTTTTAACGTTTTCTTTTATTTTTAAACATCTTAATTCTTTTTCACGCTTAATAAAGAGTTTATAGTTTTACTGATTACATCATATGAGGCATAATATGTAATATATATTTAAAACTCTTGTAAACATGTTATGTGACTTAACGAGTCAGATAAAATTAATTAACGTTTTCTTGTGGTCAAGTTTTATGTTTAGCTACTTATCTTACAGTACCAGGAAAACTATTATGTAAAATAATCAATAATTCCATGAAATACCCACTATACGGAGCAAGTGTTAAATATCTTATCAAAGCTTTTACCAAGTTTAGTTATTATCTGCTTAGATAAAGCTGGCTTGAGATATCAACACTAGCCTATAATGTAGGCGATATATTAAACAATTCAAGTGCTAAGTACACATTACGCCTGTGACCTTAATACATATATGTATGTAAATACCGTTTCTACTAAATAAATGTAATTTCATTCAATTAGGCCCAGACGTTAGAGTAAAATATATTTCTCGATACTATATACTATATAATTATATATGCATTTATATATATATATATATATATATATATATATATATATATATATATATATATATGGATAGATTACACACTTTTCAGGATGGTACTAGATAGGTATGTAAAGAAGGGGAAGTGATAACATAAGTACTGGCTATGGCAGGTGCCCCTTATCACTGTGATAACGTAAAAATTAGTCAAGTATAAATCAATACTTAGAAAAGCTTTGTTTTCATGAAGAAAATTTGCTTTGATTTTTAAAGTTTTTATGAACGAAACTTTTTAAGTGAGCGTACGATAATACTGCCTTATATTTATCTGTACCTACTAATATTATAAATGTGTAAGTTTGTGAGTATGGATGTATGGATGTTTGTTACTCTTTCACGCCAAAATTAATCTATATATATAATTAAAATTCTTACTAAGCCGAATCTGTACATTAAATATTTTTTGGAAAATCTTATTGAAATAGACATTATTATCGATACAGAGGCCGAATCTATAGTTTTTAGAATTTTCGTCTGTCTGTCTGTCTGTTACCGTATCACGAAAAAACCTCTGGAGGGATTTTGATGAAATTTGGTATGGTGATAGCTGGTTATCCGGGTCAACATATAGGATACTTTTTACTGCGGGAAAATATCTCATTTTTGAGAAAAAATATAAAAACTGCAATGTAAGAGTATACCTACTAATATGTAAAACCTAACAATTTGATTTTTGGTCATCTGAACGCGGGTAGAGCCGCGGGTAATGCTAGTATTTATATGAAAATTTGGCACAGAGAGAGATTATAGTCTGGAATAACACATAGGCTACTTTTTATCCTGGAAAAATGTGCGTTTCCCGTGGGATAGGTTTATTTTTGGCTTCCTAGAGCCGCTAGTTAAAGAATAAAAACAAAAAAAAAATATAAAGCTTTCGTTGCTCAGTCGCCTTCGTTTCAACAAATTACAGGCTACTTACATAAAATAAACGCTTGTAAAAATAGGGAACATTAACTTGTTATTTCTTTGTTACTTGTTGTTACAGTTCAAATTCTATCTTGTAGTTATGAAACAAATTAATAAATTATTGTGTAACACGTATGTATTTTTAGTATTTAATATACCCGTACGATGTAGGTTTTATTTTGATTCTAAATTGTAAAAAAATAAAAAAACTTCTTTGTTTATTAAGATGCCGTTCCATAAAACATTCGTTTAAAATAATAAAATTAAGATATTAGTGTTTTCGATTAAATAGGGCGTAGTCCTGTCGTTAATTAGGAAATAGTGTATTCAACCCTTCATATTGCGCAGGATAATCTAATATTGAACAATTTAATGTCAAAATATTTATCTTAAGATGGCAGAAACTAGTTATTGTATAACAATAAAAAAATATTAAATTTTCTAATAAAATATAAAGCTTAATCCATCAGTTAATCCCATAAATCACAGAATGCTAGATTACTTAATAGTGAAATAAGATTATACTAAGTAGATATATTATTAAGAGGCTTAAGACATTTATACGACTATTGAGACCAATTAGACTAAATAAATTATAAATAAATAGATAAATATTTGGTAGGCACTAACCTGAAGTTTGAAAACCACTTGACGAGTTGTGCTGTGTTGTTTTTGTTGAACTTAATGTCTGGGAAGTACATCTTGAGAACTGCGGAGCTCGGGTAGCGGACCCAGAAGAACATCAGCTTGGCTTTGCGAAGGTGCATCGGCGTCAAAGTTGAAGAGTACACAGGAGTCAAGGATCAAATTGATAAAATGTATAGTTTATATAAAATAATTGAATTGAAATTGTCCAAATTAATTAAAATAGGTATGTTAAAATAACATTAATTGGATTTTAAATCTTGCATTTTTAATCTAAGAATCGGGATTGAGGAAAAAACGTTGCGTAAATCTGATTATATCCCAGTATTACGTAGACTGATTGAAGCACCACAAGTTCTTAATCCATTTGCATCTAATCTTATAACGTACCTTAGCAGACAGCTATATTAGCGTCTGTCCACAATATACCTACTTGTTAAATGTAAAATTATTTTAAATAGTTTTAAATAGTACGTAAGAATATAAAATTCATATTATAATGTTTTATCATTTACTATTTTTTACTGATTTCATAGAGTTCATTTTTGTATTTAAAAATCTATAATAACGAGTTACAGTTCTATAAGTAGGCGCTTAATTTAGTTTACGGTTATTTCCTTCATGTATAGGTGGATGTTAGAAAAGTACAGTAAAGCGTAGAAACCGCAACACTTGTGGGGCTTCGAGAGTCGGATAATATCTACTACTGGGTAGGAAGTAGGTGGCAGTCGTAAGGTTAAACAAAACATTTACAGAAATAAGATATCTGGCCGTGGTTTTGTTCGAAGCGCTTCAAGAATTGAATGACAAGTATTGAATTAGATATACTCAACTACTTACTTAAATTTATTCTTAGCGTTAAGATTTATGATATATTGAAAAGGATATAGTAGGCTGAATTCCGTCGTAAGGCAAGTCGGTGGAATTGCAGTCAGAGTGTGGGTCTTGCGCATCCATATGCTGTGGGTGATGAGGCGCAGCTGCATGGTGCGGCACGTGCGGGTGGTGCGGGCGCAGGTAGTCCGGTGACAGCGTCGCCAGCACGCGATGATGTACTGAGTGCACCATTGAGTTAGGCAGCGGCGGTGAATCCCTTTCAGGCGCCGGGGGTGACCGCGCTAAGCCACCTCCAGCTCCGAAGAATGGAGAGTATGGCGAGAACACTTGACTTTCGTGTAACGATGGATTAGGTATCGCTACTGAGGTCGGTAGATTTCCGCCTAGGAATGGTCGTGGCGAAGGTGATTCAGGGAACTTGCTTTCTGGTGATTGTCCGACTCCTTCACCCAGAATTCTACTCACAGTTCGTGGAGTGACGCGCGTATCGGTTACTTTTTGTCGTTTTCTCTTAGGGGTTACCACTAAGCTTAGGGGCTCGGAAGGGTCAGGATTCTGTTCTCGATCGAATTGTCCATTCATAGGCGCGAAGTGCGGTTGCAGCGGTTTCTGCGGGGCCTGGAACATGCCTGTTGGAAGTCGCATGTGAGCACCGTGGCCAGGCCCGCCCGCCTCGGGGTGCAGCGGGAACGCTACGCCACCTGGCGCACGGGGGCCATTCATATGGCTCATAAACATCGGATTATTTGTAATAAATGGGACGCCGTTAGGCGCGCCCGGATGATGGACGGGTGGGTTACCTGACATTTGTCCCGATAGTCGCTCGGGCAATTTTGGAGTCGGTGACTTTTCGAGCAGCCGAGTCGCCTTTATTAAATCTTTATTCAGTTGTTCGGCCGCCGCAGCTGCTGCCTCAGATTGCTTTCCCATAATGCGCCGTTGATGCACAAAACGTGTAACGATTGAGTCTATAAGGCTTGTCAAAGAAGCTGTAATTTCACTTTTGAGAACCTCCGCTAAACCCTCCAGATCTGCACCCGATACGGGTCCAACTGAACCTGAGTTACTACGTAATGCATCCAGCCTTTCTGCTAATTCGGAAGATAGAGGGGGCTTTGGAGTTTGACCTATTTGTCTATGCTGTGGTGAATGCTGATTTGATTGAGGTCGTTGATGTTGACTAGTCTGCTGCTGCTCATTTGCTTCCTTCATTCGTGCTTCTTGTTCCAAAAATAGCTTTTGACTGACGTTGAGGTACATAGCAGCTGCATTATTCAAATGTTGATGCGTATGAGGTGGATGCATATGGTCAGTGGGTGGTAAGTGTGGCATAAGAGGCAAGGTTCCATTGAAACCAGGTGGCAGATGACCATGAGCTACAGAGTGAGCTTGAATTTTTGCAGTCATCATTTTATTCATAACTTGAGAGAGCATATTTGGCGCTGCACTTATAGGTATCGGTGGGGGCACTTCCTTTGCGGGAGATGATGGTTCTGATTTAGGCATAGGCTCCTCATTTTGTTCTACATCACTAGAAGCACCATCATTATCGATCGTTTCCGATTCTTGTCCCATTCTATTGCACAGCTGCAAATATTTTTCTTGCATCTCTGCAAGCTGTTCTTGCATTGTTCTTAATTGTGTTTTTAAAGCATTTTTTTCTACTAACTTTTGGTGTATAGGTGGTCGCTCACCATCATCTTCTGACTCGTCCGACACTGTTTGCGCACTACTACCATGGCTAGTACCATAGCGTTCTGCTGCACCGTCGTGTTGCTGCGGATGGTACAATTTTCGTTTTTTACAGCCATTCACTTGTGGTTGTTGAGGAGCAGGACTAGCACGCATTGTTGACACTATATTTTCTACACGAGCACGTTTCACGTCCAGTGGTCGCGGTGAAGACCGTTGAGCGTCACTATCACGATCCTCGGGCTCGGATTTAGGAGCAAGAAGCGGTTCATTCGGCGGTGGAGCAGGTGGTGGCGAAGCTCGAGAGTCACCGATACTGTCCAATGTCAACAAGGCATCGTCGAGGTCCGGTTTGGAATCACGAGACACTGGCCGCTCTGGAGACCGCTTTTCTTGTTTAGGTTCGTCATTATTATTATTTGCGAGTACATTATTATTGTCCGGGGATAATCGCATCAGCTCCTTCTTTCGACTCTGGAGAATGTCGCGAAGAACGCGATCGCGAAGCATATCGCCACCGCTGGCATCGTCGCCGGCATCCTCCTGCCTGGGCGTGCGACCCAATAATTCATTTAGCATTTCGGCCGGCGCGTAGCAGGGGCCGAAGAGTCCGAAGTGCTGGCGACCCTCAAAGATGGCGCTGTAAAGTCCGCCACTCATGTGTGCGGCGCGCGCGGGCGCGAGTCCGTTCGTCGCAAGAGTTGAATAAGAATTGCGCGGCTCGCCGGCGTCCACGCGCTGTCTGACGCGTTTCTGTTTCTTCAGTAACTTATCCGAGTAGGGCGCGAGTGAGTCTGCCTCCTCCTCCGATGACATCATAGGCGAGGCGGGCCCCAATTGGCCGGACGGGCGGCGGGCAGGGCCCCACCGCGCTACTCGAGCCGCATTGCCCGTTCTGCAACAGGGAGGGGAGCGCGATCAGCACACCTGCTCGTGCAGCGTACGGCGTGCGTCGTGCCTAATGCACTTCCTTACACTCTCGTAGCGCACTTAAAAAATTTATATGACTATGATAAATTAAGGCCAATCGCTTAAAAGACTTTATAATATAAGTTATGTATTAAAAATAAATGTAACAACTTTCCATAATCTATTTTTTTAATTTTATCCAACAGTATATAAAGTAATTTATCCACTTTCGTATTTGTTTAAAGATAGTTATCAAGAAATCGATCGCAAATTACCTACATAGATGCTACAAGCTCGCAACCGATACGCGCACAAATTAAATAGAGTAGGTCAAAATAATACATTAGACTAGATATGTCTTTGATAATATAGTAGAATAAAACTGCAAAAGATTTCTCACAGCGTCTACATTGTTTTAATTTGCGTTTTATATGAATGACGTTTGTTTTTAATAGTCTTTATGTAAGTATGTCAGAGTAGAATAGGTATTTGAAAGGTAGTTACGGTAACAGCATGTGAAAATACGTGCTGTAAACATAACAAAAGGCCGAGCATATGTATCAACCGCATTAATTTCTTTTGGAGCGTGACTCCGTATTCATGGAGGACAATGAATCTAAAAATGTCAGAAATAATTCTGTGAGACATGCGGCGTTAACACACGACTCCATTAAAACACGACACGACATCATTTTAATTATTTTATTTTTCAGGTGAATAAAAAAGCCACATTTCTGATAAGAAAGAACTACAAAATTTCACTTCTTTTTTACTATTTTTGTGTAATTTGCAAATATTGTACTTTTATAAGATCTATTATTATTAATTTTACATACTTATATTTAAACACGGAAAGGAGGTTATCTCTTAATAATACATGTCTACTTCAAATTTTCAATAGGACAACGTTGAAAATATCCGTTAAATTCCAGTAAGAATTTTCGGTACTAATTTATAATCATTCTATTCTTTCTTCAATCCAAAACGCCGTTTATTTAGCTGACTTTAGCTGCTTATTAAATAAAAGCTGCACATATTTTTGTGCTGAATTTTAAGGTAAGTGGTTTATAGAAATGTACGTACGTGAACGAATGAGCTCTTAAGGTTCTAAAAATAAAGATTACATGTGTGTGCCAATTATGTGATTATACATACGTATTACGTACAGAGTTTCTACCTCTTAAACGAAACAGACTTAGAGCAATGAGGTTCTTTCTTCTATTTTACGTCATATTCAAAACATGTAAAACTTAGTAAATATTAAACTTATACTAACAATCTATGCTCATTAATATAACAATTTTATTATAGGTATACTCTGTGTACTGTGTATACATCATCATACTGTGTGTACATACATCTATACATATAATAAAATTGTAACCAAGCCGAATCTGTACATTAGATATTTTTTGGAAAATCTTATTGAAAAAAACATTATTATCGATACAGAGGCCGAATCTATAGTTATTAGAATGTTTGTCTGTCTGTCTGTTACCGCATCACAAAAAAACTACTGGAGGGATATTGATGAAATTTGGTATGGTGATAGCTGTTTATCCGGGTCAACATATAGGATACTTTTTACCGCGGGAAAATGTCTTATTTTTGAGGAAAAATACAAAAACTGCAATGTAAGAGTATACTAATATGTAAAAAAAATTTTTGTCATCTGGTTGGCTGAGTTTGGTTTTTAGTCATCTGAACGCGGGCGGAGCCGCGGCCAATGCTAGTTTACTATATAGAAGCTACATGTAGATTTTGCTGAGTAATATAACAACTACCTATACAATGAGTGGGTAAGAATTTTATTTATGTTTTTTGGAATTTGAAAATAAAATCTTTGCATAAAAAGCTTTTTGCTTTCTGATTTATAACTAACTCAGTCAGAATTAAAAAAAATGGCAAATACAGATATTTCTCGTAAATATATCGTTCGTTAATACATTGGAGACGGGCACATCTCGCGTCTCTAGCAGCATCCGGCCATTGCGCACAATGAGATGCTATCAATAGCGGATGACTTCCGATGGTGACCACCAGCTTGCGACGGTCACGGTATATGACGATGTATTGGTCACCTTTATACATACACAAGTAGGTACATAACCCGCATTTTGCAACAATTCTAAATGTCTCATCCCTAGAAATTATCGAAAATCTTACTAGACTTAGAAATAGAATTAAATTAGTCTATTAAATTAGTATTTCGCATATAATTCGTTATTATTTTAATTATGTATCGATGATAAATTACTTTATTAATACGATATGATACCATGTCTCAAAGTTTTAGTTTGCGTTCAAGAAAAATAAAAAAAATCATCCATAAATATGTCTTAGTTTTTCTAGTTTAAGCTTTTCTATAATATTTTTAAGAGTTTACTAAGTGGCATGAATATATATTTCAGAATGTTTATTATAAACTAGTCTAATTGTATTTGAAACTTAAAGTTCCCTCAATAAATATTTAAAAAAAAACTTATATATCGTAATTCCATCGCACGATACAATTTCGATAATTACCGCGTTATGAATAAGCAATGCGCTGTCAAACTGTGACCAAGGTAGATATCCCGGAGCTGTTTATACGTATCGACTATTAGTATAATTCTGCATACTATTTTAACGAATTGAAGTCATTTTATATTTTATTGATTTCGAGACAGCATAAAATTCTACATAAATAAGATAAATAACCTTTTTTAAACATGATATTTTTTTCTTTCTATATACTCGTATATTAGTTAAAGTACATAAAAATAAAAACTTTGCTTAGTAATTAAATAAAATCTATTTAATTTAGTTTTATTACATACACAATCGATATTTATTGGAAAAGGCTATGCTACTATATGTAAAAGAAAATATGGCTTTAAATTGAACATGTACATACATACACCTGTTCAAGTTTAAACTGCTTAAGTTTATCTTTCTATAGATTCCGTTAAGAAAAGTACCTAAGTAAAAATGAAAGGTTGACTTATTAGTTATTATGTTTATGAATCTGTTACATTATTTTTTTAACAACAGTAACAGTCATTTTATATTAAAATTTTAATTTATAACGTGTATTTGTTTATATCGTGGCATGTAAAAGGACCTCCACGAGCTGTGTAGGCATGTGCTCCCGACACGACCTGTTGATTTTCCATATCGCACTACTAGGGGTTACCACCCTTAGCACTGTCGACTTTTAAGAAAATATATATTTTGAGAAATAAATAAAATCATTCGTATCATAAATCATTTTACTTTAAATATATATATACCTACATATTAGTTAAGTCCTCACTGAAATGCAATAGGTACCTATAATAAAATTAATTTTGTTTTATCGCGAGAGTTTGTTTATAGGTTCGTCTTTATTTTAAAGCGTAAAAGAGCAGGAGATGAATTTTTGCTTATCAAAAATAGTTTATCGGCCATAAACTAATCTTATTTCTTAATAATATTATTAATAAGAAAGTTTAGATGTTTAGACGTTTGGATGTTTGGATGAATGTTTGTTACTCAATCACGCCAGAATGGCCGAACGGATCTGAATGAAATTTGGCATAGAGATAGATTATAGTCTGAAATAGCAGGTAAGCTACTTTTATCCTAGAAAAATAGATTTGTTTTTGTTTTTCGCCGCTAGTTATATTATATTAAGTGATTTCTGAAGTTTTTTGTGTGGTAGTAAAAGTTTTCACTTTAACTTAACAAAAAAACGTGTCTAAGCGAACTGAAGGCATGTTACTAGTATAGTATATATTATAGTACATACTTTTTATACACTTCCATACAAAATTACAAATATTACATAATTATAATCAAATTTATTTTATATCGATAAATGCCATCCCTGATTTCTACCCCTGTTTAATTTGGCGTGACTCGCCGTCGTCTAATTTTTACGGAAATGTTTCTTTTCCGCTACCGCATTCCCATGGAAAAGGTTTAATGTTTAGAAGGGAAACTATGTATGAGACATTTATCAAATCAACGTTTTCACACGCCATTCAAAGTAAAATATTTACAGAATAAGTAATCTTTAGTAGCTCCTCAAGCGATTTTGTTTATTTTTGTTTTCTAAAGTTTCGGCTCGCTCGTTTAGGCTCGCTAGTATAATTATTATATGTATATTTACTTAATTGCTTAGAATATTCTATAATATTATATTTGATAATATTTTCCCTTTAAGTTAATATAAAAAAAAACAGAAATAATAGTTGGCTCATAATACATTCATATAAGCAGCTTAAGAAAGAAAACATTTATTAATTAACTTCAAATTCCACCGTGTATATTTCTGGTTTCAAGATACCAGTCGTATCATACAATTAAAAACTGAAGTATCTGAAGTCGGTTCCAATGGTTGTATATTTTTGAATATGAATTACTTTGTATATTAAATCATAAAGAATTATTTGTTATTTTTTTCCTATATTTTGTTATTTTCTTAATAATGCATAAATTTGTTACTTCAACTAGGTTCAACTTAGTTTAAGTGATCGAGGTAAATAATATGTCTATGATATTATCGCGTGGCATATGGTTGTACCACCCCATGGAAGTGTAGGAATGCGTGGGAATGTTTCACCCTCGCAATTACCTTTGCATTTGTTTATTGTTCTTACTTGTGACTTATGGTCAGTTGGACCATATGGCGAATTAATAAGACAAACAGGTGGTTATTATTCGCATGGAAAATTTTAAGTTACTAGGGCGATAAAACTTACGTTTTTAAGTTAAGCGTAAAATTTATGAACAATGTATCCGTACACATTTGAAATTTTAATGATACCTATATTATATTATTGTTGTTATCCTTCCTTCTATTAATGAGAGTAGGAAAACCAGTGAATTTAATGACGTCGAAGGAAAGAATATGTATTATACGATTATCTATACTAATATTATAAACAGGTAAAGTTTGTGAGTTTGTGTCGTTATAGGGGGTAATCTCTGGATCTACTGAACCGATTTAAATGAAATTTGGTAAGAAGATAGTTTAAGACCCTGCAAATCACATAGGATACTTTTTATGCCGGAAATCATCCTTTAAGGGAGTGAAAATGGGGGAGAAAGTTTGTATGGGGAATCAAGCTAGGGACGAACGCGAGCGAAGCGAGGGTGAGTCGCTAGTAAAGATATAATGACAGATAGTACGGAGTACGAAGATGTGAAAAAACAACCTGAACACCATGGTGCGATTTACCTTGAATATATCCAAGACAAGACGGAGGCCACCCCCTTTCATCTTGGTGGTCAAACATAAAAACTAAAAAGAAATCTCAAGTAAACAAAATTTACAGAAACGACAAAACAGATTGTCTTGGAAAATTTTCTGTCGCAGAAAAATGAGGAGAAATCTAAATAATGGGGGAAAGGAAAGGACGGAGAAGAGAGAGAAAAGAACAAAAAAAGAAAATGGATTCTCGTCTATGTAGACGTGTAGTCTCTGGCAAGATTACTCATAAAAAACATCATGAGATTAAAATAAATTTTTTCAAAATCAATTAAATTTTCATAAAAACTTCATGTGAAACTCTTCTATTTCACATAATAGGTATATTATTTCGAATCTATACAGATAAATAAAACTGAAGTGTCTGTTTGTAATGTCAAAATAACAGCTCTTTACTAAATGCATATGAAATTATATACTGTACCTACTTATAAGAAAAACACATGTTTTTTTTTTAATTTTGTCTGTCTGTCGGTTTGTTCTAGCTAATCTCTGAAACAGCTTGACTGATTTGGACGAGGCTTTCATTGGCAGATAACTGATGTTATAAGGAATTACTTAGGCTTCTTTTATTTTAGGCAAAGAATTAATGTTCCGAACAAAAAATTAAAACGTACGACGCGAAGATAAGTCGCTAGTAAATAATAAACAAGTAAGTAATAAAGCCAGTAGAGATAGTGTACGTAAATTAATAGAGTTTACTCATAAAATTCATTGCAGTAAACTTCGTGTGTGTATGCATCAAAGGCAAGAAAAACATGAAATTAAAATGGCTTTCGGTCATTAAAGGTTTTAGATGAAATGATAAGGGTGTGCATATGCATAGGTGTAATGGTAGCTCTATCGCGTGATCACCGTAATTTGAGGTGATTCTAGAATTTTTACCGTTTATGAATAAAATTCTTTAAGTATAAATAATATATTTCAGATTCAAATGACAAAACAGTTTATTATTTAATAATAAACTAAATAACAAGCCAACTTTCGTTGATTAACTTAATATGTAACTAGCGACTTATCCTCGCTTCGCTCGGGTTCGGCCCTAGGTTGATTCCTCGTACCCCCTTAAGGGTGATTTCCGGGATAAAAAGTCCTATGTCCTTCCCTTCCTATCAAACTATCTTCTTACGAAATTTCATCTTAATCGGCTCTGTAGATCCAAAGATTACCTACCCCCTACAAAGTCACAAACTCACAAACTTTACCTCTTTATAATATTAGATTATAATATGTAAAAACATCATGTACATTGTACATACAAGATATTATGAATTTTAATTGAAATGCTTTTATAGATAAGTCAATATATTAGGTACTCGTATAACAATTTCAAAAGTTTTGAAAAAATATATATAGTTGATTTCTCCAAAGAAATAAGCAAGCATTAATACAAATTTGGTCATCTTAGCTATATATACTTGAAATTTTTCACCTATAAATTACTAAGTGTATCAAATCTGGATAATCTACGTAATTTTCCATACTAAAAAAAATTAGTATATCAAAAAACAAAAATTATTAAAAATACCATCGAATATTGTGTCCAGTAAAGGGTGAAGCGGCAATCAGTATGCATAAGTTATGATTCGGTTGGCGTGTCTGCCATTACGGCCTTCTATGAAAAAGGACATTTCCCTTATCGGTGGGTATCACGAGAATAAAAACTGCGATAAGATCGAGCGTGCGGCGACTTTAATCGATATCGATAAATGCAATTGTCTAGTGTCTAACACTTCACATAGAGTTACGATGATTTTAATTTTTTTTTAGATTCTAGCAAGAAATTATTTATTATCTTAGAATAAAACATTACACTTTACGTCAATATAATGACGTTAGCAACAATTGAGTATTTTAATTAGGTGTAAAATAGCGGTAGATATAGTGGTAGTTTAAAATAGCCTGTTGTGGTTATGAAACCAATTAAATTACTGAAATTCTAATAAATTTATTACCAAATACATAATTGCTAAGAAGTTTATCAATTTACCTTATAGGTAAATAACTAATTATTATAGTAGCTATAAGTATTTTATTTAATATTTCCTTAAATTATACCATACTAGCGACTTACCCTCGCTTCGCTTGGGTTCGTTATTTAGGTGCGTTTTAACGGTTAGTATGGAATAGATAGAATATATTATATTAGTATACATGTATATACATAGGTATGAAACGTTTTATATCCCTACTTACTATTACTTGAGAAATGATTAATTCTCCATACAAACTTTTATGCCTCTTTTCATACCCTTAAGGGATAATTTCCGGGATAAAACTATATTTTTCTCATAGGTTCTTCATAGGTTCCTAGGGTTTCAAACTATCTTCATACCAAATTTCATCTAAATTGGTTCAGCGGATTTTTAGTTATACATTACAAACAAAGATACAATTTATTTCTTTTTATAATATTAGTATAGATATGTATGTATTTCAGACGCTCAAAACCTTAGTCTCTCTCATTACCATTTTTGCAAAAAAGCATTTGATACACCTGGAACCAATAATCATAATAAAACTCGGTTAAAAATCCGAGAAATTGTTTTATTTAAATTTTCTATTTAAATGTAAAAACAATAATAAATGTTGTACATTATTTTTAAAATATCCATGTCCAAGTAAATAAAAACTATATTATATCGACACTTGGCTTCCCCATCGTGGTATATGGGAAGACAGGCACTTATTAGTCGTCATTATCTACACCAGTATCGCTGTGACATATGGCCAATATTGGTCGAGCATATCTGCGATGTCATGCGAGTACCGCCACCTAGAAATACCTTAATTAGTCTTTGTTTGTTATACATGCGATGTTTAATATACCTATAAAAATTCTTTTTATATTGACATATTTTTTTAATTGTACCTGTATTTTAAATAAAGTACATTAATTTGAATACGTTATTTTATCTCAAAGGTTATTATTTTAACCGCCAAAAATGTTTATTATTTTAACCGTCACTCTGTGGTTAAAAATTAACACCTAATAATGACGGTGACATTATAAGGTGAGCAACTAAGAAGTACTTTAAGTATTCGAGAGGATTGAAAAGGTATTGAATAATCTATAAGCTAAAATAAATTAATTAGTTACGTAGGTATGTATAGCTGTCTCTCGTCATTTATTAATAGAACAATTAACTTATTCCATATTGTTAAAATGCAGATAGTACTCGCATATAATTTTTGAGTGGATCTATAAAAATGATTCAAAAAATAAGAATTTATATACGTTTCAAGACTAATTAAGAAAAATATATGTGTATAAAAATATTGTAGTTTGTAAGTTTGTTTCGTTCGCAAGTAGACTGCCTTTGCCGAAAAGCAAAGGGCCATACTAAGAAAGCACAATAGCAAATAATCATAGCCAACTCATACATTCTAGTAAGAGAAAGAATATTTTAGCATCTTTTTGGATATGTTTGATATTGTTTGCTTTCACCAGGTTCTTTGGCGAAAATTTCTTTTTGTTGGTAACAAAATATACAAAGAGTTAAATAGAGCTATGAAATAATTACTAGGATAAAACGTGTAGGTACATGTTTCAGAAGGGGATTTCTTTACCATAAGGAAAGTATAGATTAACATATTACTATATTTGTTATAAATACATTAATAAGTGTATATAATATAATACGTATAAAGTACGATATATATATATATATATATATATATATATACACATATAGGTAATATAACAGCAACTTAGCGAAATCTGTACAAGAAATATTAAAAAAAAACCGACTTCTAGGCACTAAATCAATGTCAAAAATTACTAAACGGGGGTTTTCATTTAGAATAGATACCTAATCAGATATTTTCGAAGTCGATGCCAGCCGATGCAAAGCAAGTCTAATAGGTATATTTCGATACGTAAAATATTGATGTATAATATTTTAACTATAACTAGAGTTTATACCTAATCATATTTACCTATTAGATATTCATATCTTAAAATATTGTCGGCTGTTGATTTTTTAAACAATCGCTCAACCGATTTCGATAAAATTAAAAAAAAAAATCCAAATCGGTTCAGGCATCTTCGAGTAATCGGTGAACATACATAAAAATAATTAAAAAAAAGATTTCGACGAATTGAAGACCTCCTCTTTTTTGAAAGTCGGTTAACAATGGCTGTAACGTATTGAGTATAGAATATAGACCCCAAAACAATAGTTATTTTTTTTTGTATATATCTGTTTGTCTGTATGTCTCTTTGTGTTTGCGTTTTACACAAAGAAATACTGGATCGATTTTGACTAAATTTTATGTAGTGTTAATTTATTACTCAGGTAAACATTTATGTTATTTTTTACTACAGGAAAATCTTTCATTCCCATGGGAAAACAATAACTGGTTCTATAAA